TCCCTGAAGAGACGAAACCGGAAATGGAAATGGACCTAATTCTATTGATCTTCACACGTCAGGAGCCAACAAATAGGAACAGATTTGCCAGGAAATGAATTAACATTTAGTGCTTCAGGTGGGTAAAGGAGAAGTGACAGTGATAATCGACAAAAAACAATACACCAAGAAGATAAAATATATTCTAAGAGACAGGACCACATATCGTATACTAAACAAGGACCCAACTATGAAGATCAATGGAATCTTAGGGTACATGCTGAATGATACGAATAGTAGCGGAAAAAGTGACGCATTGACAAAAATGCAATCATAAGAAAGGATGCACGGCTACCAATAGCCTACAGATTACCGAAGATACACAGAGAAGGCTAGCCAATAAGGCTGAGAGTCAACAACAAGTATGGAGCAAAACACAAATTGGCAAAGTTCATAGGTTTGAAACTCAAGAAATTAAATGAGAGGCTATCAAACACGGTGAAATATTCATATGAATTTTCTCAAAAAATCAAAAAATAGCACTATAATAAACAGAATAATTGCCAAGTTTTGATTTTGAATCCATGTATAAAAATAATTCTGGAGAAAATGCTCTTACGGCTCTCCTGGAAATCCTGGACGGAATGGAAGATATCCTGGAATCACAACGGATCGGTAAGGAGACTAATAAACTTGACAATATGGACGAACTATTTTACATTTAACGTTACCATCTAGGAATAAATATTTGGACTTCCAATTTTATCGCCGCTCTAACCACTTTTGCCGAACGTATACATGAACAAATTAGAAGAGAACTTCAAGATGTCACCGCTACAACCAGCAGTGCTCATGCGCTACCTCGATGATTACTTCGCACTTTGTTCACATGGAAGAGAAAAAATGTAAGATTTTCTGAAGTCTATAAACCAGATTAATGAAAAAGTTAACTTCACGATGGAAGTAGAGAAAGGTGAGAAGTTACCGTTCAGAAAGAAGTCTCATTCCAGTCCATCACAATTACATGCTAAAGATAGGAATAATGAGGAGCATGATCATCCGAAGCCTACGCTTAACAGATGTAGAACGCTGGGACGAGGAGCTGGACAAATTAACGAGGATATTCCTCGGCAACGGCAATCCTAGCGAAGTGATACAAAGAAATATATGGGCCGTGAAAAGCCGATGGCAAAACGGGGACCATGAAATAACAGTAAGGACCGAGAAGGATTCCCAAAAGTGGATATGGCGCGAACTAATTCAAAAACTACGGCCAACATTAAGGAAATGGAATATTCGGATGGCCATGAAAGAAAAATCGACACTTTTTGCACGTTTACCGACGCAAAATGAAAATGTAGACAAATTGGATTGTTTATGAGCTTATTCTATAGAATGTGGCGCCTATGAACGCGGCGAAACAGAGAGAAAAATTAGGATACGAATCAAGGAACACCTTCGAAAGATCAGAATTAACGGAACATATCGCACAGAGTGGACACGAGATTAATTGGAGAGCTATAGAAAGAAGGGCCTCATACAGTAACAACACAGGGATTCGGAAGATTAGGGGGGCAATTGACATTGTTGGGGAGACAAATCTAATGAACAGGAGATTGGAGGAAGGTAGAACTAGCGATAACTTTGCCTACTGCTTAAGCAAACTCGGGGACAACAAGAATACAGCAAGACCAGGAAAAAGGAAATGCCTGGGTCAGGGATCTATCGCTAGCTGGAGGAAAAGGGATCGCGATGAGCAAATGGGAGATGGGGCGGGGATTTTCGGCAATCAAAAAAAGACGTTGTCAGTGCGTGATGTCTGTTCGAATAAACCGGTACAAGATTGGAGGCCTAACAGTCAAGGAGCTGGGCAGACGGACAAGCAAACCGTAAGAGAAATTCGGCGTTATCGCCAAAATATACTAGAAATCTACTTGAGATGCAGCTCGCCGCCAGAGATAGGCTTTCACAGTGGTAATATGGGTTTAGTCAAGGAGACGACCAGTGTGCGCAACGCCTGATGTCTGCAAGCATGGGAATCAGAGACGGCAATGCATGTGCTTATAGCGCCTTGAGAAATGGCGCCCGGAGTAAAATTCACACTGGGACTGAAACCGAGTGAAATTGGTCAACCAGAAAGAGTGGGGGCCAATGTGAATAGCAGGTGAGATGAGGCCACAGTAGATTAGCCACAAAAGGGCACACATTTAGACGAGTGGAATGTAAACACGCCAGAAGTTGTGATA